GGCAAGGATGACATGGAGAACATCGGTCTCGCCATGAACATCAAGCAACCCATCCAGGCGAACGAAATCGAACGCATGTATTAGGTTGAGATCGCCAGCGGATCCAACTGCATCACAGTCGACGACATGATCGACACGGCCGGGGCGGTGGGCAAGACGCCGCAGCTCCTGTCCGACCGAGGTTGGGCGCTTATTGAACATCATCCACGATATTGTCTCGTCCGACTTGATCACGACCTGGACAGCGTTGCGAGAAATCCATGCAGCGAGTACACTAACATGCAGATGGCGCCGACAGTATGGAAGTGAGGCATAAGACATCGCTCTCTCAATGACGCATCAACGACTGTCCGCGTCAAGATCCTTTGACGTTTGTGACGCGGACGTCAAAGGACACGTCTCCATTCGTTCACAATGTGCACAACCCTGAGAAATCAATGTGGCTACACGCATCGGTCAGGACACTCTGGGGCGACGAAGTAGCACCTCAGGTTACAGTAGCGATGAACTTCCACGCAATTCCTCGCTCAAGCCACCTTGAATACTCTTGAAGCGGCACCAGTGATATTCCGTCGTCTACCAAGGGAAATTGTCCTGCATGTGAATACGCATTAGACCGTCCTACTTGTGTGATAGCAGCTGGAGAGGAACTGGTCCAGCACTCTTTACTTGAGGGGTCCAGCACTTGTGCTTCCTAGGCGTCGCCGTACAGTCGCTGCGAGACAACGACACGAGCGCGGGTTGGCCGCCAGAGGTGGCCAACATGAGAGCCTCTCGTACCCGTGCCACTACCGCAGCCTGGGCTTCTGCTTCGTCGTACTCTCTGGTAGCAGCGGCCTTTACGGCTTAACCTGTGTAGTAAATAGCTCTTGCAGACTTTGGAATGGCAGCACGCAACCCCCATGCGTGTGCAGACTTGTCGTACCAGCTGCCCCAAACTTGCGTGTGGTTGTTTTCAGGTGTAATCTTCACACGGGCCCCACCAACGTCACCTACCGAGACATTTGAGGTCATGAACGTCGACATTTTACGCAGGGACGCATGTCTAGAGTCCAGGTGGACCCATGCGCAACGAAAGGGGGACATAAGATCCGACGAGTATATGAATCTTAAGTATTTCAACAACATATCGATTTCCTTGGCGAAATGCTCATCTTATGTTGTAATCTGTGCGTCAAATGTTAAATCGGGAGTTCATGATGCTGTGCCTACAACGTAGAATATATATAAGCGAGCCAGTTCTGCCTAAAAGTAGCACTATCTCTTCCTTACTACGATCATGTCTAGTTTGGCTCCAAATGGACCCATTGATAGCCTATGCAAAGTGCACGCAAGTATAAGGCCAGTCTGAATTGCACTGACAAGGTTGCCTGGACTACGCCAAAAGATATCGTGGACCCCTCATCAGGCCGTACATGATTTGGTCCGATGAGAAACGCTTCAACCACGATGGCCTTGACAAGCTGCAACTTTCTTGGCACGATCTGCGAAAGGGCCGTGCTTCGCTCGTCACAGTGGTAATGGTAGAGTCATGGTTTGGGGTGCGTTCTCGTGGTTTGTCTGAGTTGGCGATTCTTTCCGACAACCTAGATTCTCCTGCGTACGTCGAAACAATCTGCAACTTTTTGCTCCCTTCGAACCGAATTCCTCGATCGCGTCGTGGTAGTGTACGAAGAATCGCTCAAGTTTCTACCCACACAATAAGCACCACCGTCCACGTCTTTCCATCCCACACCACATCTCTTGGCTCCACGCAAACCCGCTCACGCATACTTCGTGGCAGTGAAGGGGACAGGGGTTGCCGAACGACCGTGTGTACTAAGCGTGGGCGTCTGCTCATTGCTTGAATAAATGCAAACTTGACAGCGTCAATCGAACTTGCGTCGCTGTCTCGGGGGAACGTGTGGTCAAGAGCGTCCAGTAGAGGCAGCCTCAGGCAAGTTTCTCACGAGCGAAAGTGACTGTTTCAAGTGCTGGGATTGACCATTTGCATGGGGGTCGTGAATGTCGAGTTTGGCCACCATCGTTGCTAGCGGCGAGGTTCTCTCCTCCCGACTCGGTGCAAAGCGTCAATTCTGATATTATCGCAGAAAGCTCCTCGGTCGTCATTTTGGTACGGCCAGCTGCTGCGTCAGAAACGAGTTGGGTGGTGATGGGTCTACCGACCTGTTGTAGGTGCACGCAGCGGCGAACGAAGAGCCACCTCATTGTACCCACTACCTTAGCCCATATCGTGAAAGCATTCTTGGAGCCCACCATGTACAGACAGCATCAGCACAATAGCCGTTGGTGCTGATGTTGGTGAATACAAGAATGGACGTCATGTTGTACAAAGCCGCACAAGAACGAGGAAGGGCATCCGTCGAGGAT